TCCATCATGCTCAGTCTTTACTCTGTAAACCCACTTGTTTTGCAAGGCCTTCTTTCCTTCAGGCAGTTTGGTTAACTCCCAAGTCTTGTTCTTCAACAATGACTCCATCTCGTCTTTCATGGCTAACTCCCACTTGCTCGAGTTTCCATCTTGTAAGGATTCTTCATAAGTTAATGGTTCACCACCATCTGTCAGCAAGATATAATTCAGTAGAAGTGTGAACCGTTGTGGAGGCTTTATAGTCCTTGAAGATCTGCGAATAGCTGGTTCACTTGGCTCTGCATTGTCTTGTGTAGTAGTGGTGGGTACTGATGTGCCTGAACTTTCTTGTAAGGACTCTTGAGTGGTAACATCTGGAAGCCCTTCTAATCGTATGAATTCAGATTTTTGTGGACTCGTATCTGAATCAGTTATCTCTAGTTCTGTACTTGATTTGTCTTTGTACAAAACTTTCTCGTTGAAGATCACGTTCCTGCTTCTGATAATCTTCCTGTTTTGATCATCCCAAAACTGAAATCCAAATTCTTCATCTCCATAGCCAATAAAGAAACATTTCTTTGATTTGGCATTCAGCTTGTTGCGAGCATCAGAGTCTATATGCACATAGGAAACACACCCAAAGACTTTTAGATGAGAAAACTATACTTCTTTTCCTCTCTAGACTTCCCCGGGCAGTCTGAACTCCAAAGGAACTGATGGTCCATGGTTGATCAAGTAAACTGCAGTATGAACTGCATCAGCCCAGAATGTTTGAGGTAACCCAGAATGCAACCTCATGCTTCTAGCTCGTTCATTGATGGTCCAGTTCATCCGGTCAGCAATGCCATTCTGTTGTGGTGTGCCTGGAACTGTCTTTTCCATTCTGATACCGTTGACAGCACAATACTCCTTGAAACCTCCATCAATGTATTCTCCTCCATTATCAGATCGTAAGCATTTCAACTTCAAACCTGATTCAGTCTCAACCATAGCTTTCCATTTCTTGAATGTGTCAAACACATCAAATTTATTTTTCAGAAAGTAGACCCATACCTTACTGCTGAAGTCATCAATAAAAGTCACATAGTACCGAGATCCTCTAAGAGATGCTACTGGAGCTGGTCCCTATAAATCTGTGTGCACCAGTTCTAGCTTTCTTGGTCTTAAGGTCCTGCCAACCTTTAAAAAACTAAGCTTCTTCTGTTTTCCGAGAACACAGCTTTCACAAATGTCTAGATCAACATTTTTTAACTTTGGCAGCTTTCCCTTTGACTGAAATATCTTCATCCCCTTTTGACTCATATGGCGGAGTCTACAATGCCATAACTGCGCCTGATTTTCTGCTTCAGTAGAGGCAATTATATCTGTTGATCTTGTGGTCATATACAGGGTGCCAGTTTTCTTTCCACGAGCCAAAACCATTGCTCCTTTTGATACCTTCCACATTCCTCCAGAGAAAAGGATTGAATGGCCACTATCATCAAGTTGTCCAGCCGAGATCAACTTCTTCTTTAGTTCAGGAACATGCCTTACATTTTGCAAGTTCCATATAGATCCATTCATTGTCTTGATTTGCACATCTCCTATACCCACAATATCCAATGGTTGTCCATCGGCCAGATAGACTACCCCATAATTTCCAGCAGTATAGTTTTGCATCATTTCTTAGTGTGGAGTATAGTGAAATGAAGCTCCAGAATCAAGAACTCAATCATCAATAGGACTATGTACAGCAAGGATCAAAGCATCTTGTACCTCGTTTGTAGTGGCATTTGCAGAATCAGTTTCATGTTTCTTTGGTTTTGTGCAACTCCTCATGAAATGACCAGGTTTGCCATAATTCCAACATTCAACCTACTTCCTGGGTCCAAACTTGCTTTTACTTATGTACCTGGATTTTGATCTGCCTCTAGATAAGCCTCTGTCTTGTCTCCTTCCTCGAGTGTTGATGTTGAAAGCTAAACCTGAACTTGAGCTTTCACCCGAGTCTTTCCTTCGTACTTCTTCAGCTAAAATCAGGTCTCGAATATCATCATATTTTAATTTGGATTTTCCAACTGAGTTGCTTACGGCTGTTCTCATACCTTCCCAACTGCTTGGAAGTGAAGCTAGCAAAATAAGTGCTCGGATCTCATCATCAAACTCAATTTCAACAGATGATAATTGATTTGTGATGGTGTTGAAATTATTAAAATGTTGTGTAACAGAGGTGTTTTCTGTCATCTTCAAGTTGAACAGCTTCTTCATCAAGTGCACTTTGTTATTTGCTGACGGCTTCTCATACATCCTAGACAAGGCTTCCATCAATCTTGCTGTGGATCTCTCTTTTGTAACATTATGAGCAACTCTTCTTGACAATGATAGCCGGATAATGCTCAAGACTTGTCTATCAAGTATTTTCCAATCTTCTTCTGACATGTTTTCTGGTTTGCTCCCCAACAGAGGAAGATGAAGTTTCTTCCCATATAGATAGTCTTCAATTTATATTTTTCAATATCCAAAATCAATTCCATCAAATTTTTCAATTCCTGCAGCCTTTATTTCATCAGCCATTTTTACTCTTTCTCGGATTTGAATTTCACAAATTTGACCTTATAGATGTGTCCGAAATGGCCAAAAATGCTGGAAACGACACTAAGATCACCCAAATCGGACTTCGGATGGCTCCGATTTAAACAATCAAAATTTAGGATAACTGGACGCTGTAGATGAAGCCACGTGGCAGGAGGAATAGTCGCTGCGCCACACCGGATCAAAACTCAGTTATGCTGATGTGGCTAGCTGACGTGTCAGACACGTAGGCAATATGGGGTCCACCAAAGCTGGCGTGGCAAATCCATGGAGATTTTTGGCTGACGTGTCGGGTGACGTGGTTGGTTGACCGGTCAGACTGCTGATGTGACAGGTTGCGTGGCTGCTGACTGTGCCGAACGGCTGACGTGGCTACTGATGTTGCGGGGTCGAGTTGCAGGAAACGGCGAGGAAGACACGTGAGGGCGTCTGTGCGCGTGGACAGTACTGGTGGTGGCTCATGCAGGAGCGTGCGGGCATGCAGGACGTCGGATTTTCGCCGGGTTTTCACCAGTGGATTCCTCTCGTCGTCCTCTTCACGGTAGTATGTTCAAAAACACGTTTTGAGAACTTTGATTTTTGAGTTTGGATCAAACACCCTCTTTTTCAAGAACTTTCAAGAACAAGCTCTGATACCAGTTGTTAGGAGATCCAAACATTCAAACACACACAAATTTACGTGGTTCGGCAACTTGCCTACTCCACGGAGCTACTGGTTTGTATTAATCAAGCTCAAAACAATACAAACAACAAAACAAGGAGGAGGAGAAAAAACTTCTCTACTCAACTCAACTCTCACCCTTAGCTTTCTCTGTGTTTCTCTCTATTTCGTGGTCTATATCAGCTATCAATGCACCCTCTATTTATAACTGAGGAGGGAGATAATTGTTCAACAATAGTAAACAAGTTAGGCACCCACCATTTGACTATAACCATATAAACCATAACTGCCACCGACCATCTGTGTCCACACACATAATAGCATGCAGTCTAAATTAATCCACAGCTTCACGATTTTTCATAAGGACAAAATAGATTTTATCCCATATTTTGTAGTTTCTACAGAGGTAATAAGGTAAGAACATCAATCTGAAGTTGGAAACATACCAAAACTGTCGCAGCAACTCATTCCATGATCCTGACCCAGAATTTGGGGAACGTTGCGTCCAATCGATTCACTTGTAGTGGATCGTGTTTCCTTATTTCCATGGCTCCATCCCATCTAGCATCTGCTGCATGCAGGTTTGACAAAACTACATAGTTCCCAATAGTCTCTGCTTGAATTTTATATAAATGGTCCGCTACAAAGCAGTCCAATTCCACTTCATGACGGATCCTAAACCATAACCGTCAGTCTCTTTCCCAAAACCAGGAAGCAATATTCTCGTCTAGAGATCCCCACACACATAGGCGGAGGCATGGCAAAGGCTGGGGTGTACTTTATCCCATAATTTTATCAATATTTTTTTATTAATTTTATGTAAAAAAATTCATAATTCTCAATTAAATTATTAAAAAATTTAAAAATTTACCTAAAACCTTTTAATATGATTCTTTAACTTAACTTAAAATTTTAGAATATTTGAAGAAATTTAAAAATTTAATAAAAAATTACAATTTAATCAGTTTTACGTTATTGAATATAATTTTTAATTTAATTATTAAATTAAGTTAAAATTTTATAAGAAATTTTAAAATATATTAAATAAAATTTGATTAAAATTCTAGGATAAACATAACTTTGCAATGCTAATAAAAAAAAAACTATTAAATAAAAATAAAATAACCTCACATCCCATGAAACAACATCTTGTTCCTCAATACCGTCAAAAGGAGCATAAGCATCATGGAATATATTGTTGCTGCTGGCTGTGGTTCACTTTTGATGTTTTCATCTGTTGAATTGACGTGAAACGAAATTCATAGTGCGTATGGTGATCCTTCAACTCCCTTTGATTCTTTTGTGGATTTCTGTTGGATTTTTATAGGAAACCTTGCAAGTACATTTCTTGACGGAGGTTGAGTAGTATGGAAAACAAGAAGACTGTTCGCTCTGTTCATTTCATGGTGCTGGCAATTGCCCCATTGGAGTCTTCATGGTGATTTATGTCCCACTGGGACGCAGTCGGGATGCAAAGCGAATGGTAACTGGGTTTGTATAAGGCGAGCTCATGGGTTATAAAATGTCAAAACCTCAAAAACCTACGGGTTTTTTTCATTAAAGACCAAGCAAATCCATTTCTCCATTTACAAATTTTTATAAAAAAAAAACTAGAAAAAAATAGAAAATAAAAATCCTAAACTGAAAAAAATAAAGGAGAAACTTTTTTCTCAAAAAACTCCAGCATCACATTGTTTTGATCATTCCTTCAGGGAAGCTGAAAGAGGGGAGCATTTGACATCATGTGAGAAGAAACGAAACAAAAGTTTCTTGTGGAATTAAATCGTAGTGAAGAAATTGAGGGCAGCGTATGCATGGATGGTGTGCTTTCAAAGCCCACAGCACCTGAAAGAAGGATTGCAGTCCTGCCTGAATGTGGATCATCCAATGTGCATATCCTGTATCAGGAATTGGCGTAATGGTTCCCCAACGTCTGGGATGACATTAATTGAGAGCTTGCCCGATATGTATGGATGGTGTACTTTCAAAGCCCACGGCTGCTGAAAGAAAGTTCGCAGTCCTGCCCGCATGTGGATAATCCATTATGCTTATCCTGTTCAGGAATTGGCATAACGGTTCCCCAGCCTCTGGGATGACATTGAGAGCTTGCCCAAAATGTCGTAAAACGTCTCACTGCCATCCCAAATATGATTTTGTATATCCCTCGTTTAGGATTGATCTCTCCATACTTGGTGGCATAGGTGAATACTGTGGCATTTTTTCGACAAAAAAAGATTTAAGAACTTCGATGGTAATGATTGCTTTTGTAAGTATTACCTCTGCCTGTTTCCCTTGGAACATGGCTCCTTCTGCGTTCATTTACTTTCATCTCGGAGAGTTTCATCTTTACACTCTTATAATGAATAGCAGTTTGTGTTGTGATGTAGCATACTGTCATGCAATAGTGCACGACACTACTCCTCGTATTCCTATGTGATACTTCATATAAAAATAAAAGATTCTTCCTTTATTTTCCCACCTTCGAATCCATCAACATCTCTCGCTTTTCACTCCCTCTAACTTTAAGAGAGAAGCCAATCTGCATCCACCGCTGTAAGAGAGGAAGGAAAAGATGCCGCCACCGACAGGACCAGGAGGAGGAGGAGGAACTGGTGGTGGTGAAGTAGGGCAACAGAGACAAGGACAGCAACAACAACAAGGAGGGATGGGGCAAGCAATAACAGGGATAATAAGGATGGCTGTTTTTTGGTATTTCATCTCTAAAATCATCTCTCCCAAAAAGGTCCCCACTGAACCTTCCATCCTAATCTCCAATCTCTTCGAAAAAGGAGAGTCTTTGGTATGTATTTTTCATGTTCTAGTGTTTTTTGTATTGTTTTCTGATCTGGGCTCTCTTTTTTCCTCTGATTTTTGTCTTCATTTTGAAAAAGTTTTGATCTTTCTTCCTGGATTGGTGCATTTTATTGTTGGTGTTAAAATTGCTGAGATTAAACAAAAATCGGAGATCTCCACGTAAGGGAGCTGTCTTCAACATGCTAATTTTGGTTTTTGAGCATCTATGTCATGAAAAGATTGTTCTGTTGTAAAATTTGTGAGCAGGTTCACAATTTTGGAATTTTATGCTTCTTTACCCAGTATTTTTCGACCTGTTGTAATGCGGAATTTTCCTTTACCTGGATATCACTGCCCTTGTACGCTATGAAATAGGATTTAGAAGGATTTGTGAGCGGTTGCCTCGTAGTGCGTTTGCGTGGCTGTGACTAATGCCAGTGCAAACTTCCATCTTGTCGTACAAGATGAATTGATATGATGAATAGATACTGCTGAATCAGGGGCATAGGGCTTATGTAGAACTAGGTGAGAATTAAAGAGAGAGTGTTTGTCCCCAGCCGGTTGAATGAAAAAAAGAGATGGAGAGAAGTCCTTGAGTGACCCCATTTAAAAGGTTAGGAGGTAAACTTTGTATGGCAAGCAGGAGCAGCCACTCATTGTTCAATTGAACTTGAGTGGCTATGCCTGTATAGTGGCATAGCAGGGAGGAACCTACTTACTCCTATTGATGATCTTTTAGGAGAGAGAGGGTTGTATCAGCTAGAACCCATCAAGTGGTGAGAACGCTTCCTGAATCACCTCACCTGCTGACCTTCTTTCAATTTTCAAGGAATTGAATCTGGAATAAGACAAGATTAGGTTATGATGAGAAGGTTTAAAGAGGTAGCTGGATTGAAAGTCTACTTCATGGTCTTGGGAGTCAGAAAGCACAGTAGATTTTGAGCCTTATGACTGGTCCTGACACAGTACAGGCCATCACTCTTTCAGTTGAGTTGTCGCGCCTTGAGGCAGTCCTTTCATTCCAGTGTTGTATGAAAAAAAGGTCTTGAATGTTTCTATGTTCTAGTTTTTATCATGTTGTCTTTTGATATAACGAAAGACTGATTTTTTAGCCCGGTTCAGTTAACCACATTTGGTATTCCTTTGAACTGTTTTTAGTGGGGTCTGAATTTTCAACATGGGAACCTTATGCTTGTTTTCCTTGTATTCTTGTAAAAGTTTGCAATCTATTCTAACTGCTATAACCTGTGAAGTGGGAGGTAGGAGTGTTTGCTTGCAGAGTTACCTTCCAAATGCTTTAAGCATAATACTGCTTACAAATATAATAAAAGGAAAGCAGTGTTTAATTCCATATGCTATGTTGCTGGAACGCATGAACCTATGCACATTTGAAGTATGTAATACAGTCATCTAAACGTTGTAATTTTTGCAAATTCATACCAAGTAGGCCGACTTTAATCTTCCTACAGACATCAGAAAAGACATGGATGTTTGCAGCAAAGGATTTAGAATATAAGTTTCACAAGATTAAGAAAAAAATAAAATGTAATAGAAATTTACATGTGGAAGAATTTTGTATATAGTAACTCTATTCAACTACCTTTTCCCTGTCATATATATGTTCATGACGTTGACATGCTCCTTTTGCTTGTGATTTATTTTGTTATGTAGCAGTCCTATTCTAATTGAATTTCATGTGCTTTTAGGATATGTGGTTCTATCTCTCCAAGCATGAAAGGTTTAATGACTTCTCTAATGAAGGCGCGCTTATTTGGCATGAAACGAGTATACCTTATGCTGTTTGGGGACCAGAGAGTACAAGGTCTCTTTCTTTGAAATACCATCCATCTGAGGCACTTTGTGTTGCAAGCACTGAATCTAACTTCATTTATCATATTTTCAAGCACAACTTATAGGATTATATTCTGAAGACGAATCATGATGCTTATATTTGTTTTCCCCGCATAAACCACCTTCATGTTCATAAACCACCCATAAATATGAAGGTGTTTTCTCTCTCAGGCATTGAAGCACAATGGCACTCTTTATGCCCACATTTTCTTTGCACATTCTGGATATCCACCAGATCCCAGTGATCCTGAGTACCAGCCTCTTGCTGCCTTTGGAAGAACACATCGTATGATTCTTTCCATGCACACCATGTTCATCTTTTCTTTCTTCATTTGATACCATATTGATTGATACAAATTCAATGTTAAAGTAGTTCTTCCTTTTCAATGATCGCAGCTGTTGTTACATACTTGCCCAAGTCAAAATCAGATAAAAGGAAGAGCCTGTTGGGGAATTCCAAAGACTCCAAGGAGGTTGAAGCAGCATCTCAGGTCTCTTCTTGGCTGTTGATCATTTTACAATTTTCCACATATGACCTTTATCAAAAAGAAAATTCAGTATTTCTTATATGTGTTTATGGTTGATATGTTTATGATAATTGCTTTAATAATAATGCCTGCTGAATCCTCTAAGAAACCAAGTCTTGTCCGAGATTTAGGGGCACCATTGTTCTCCGTGCCCATCTCTATCCTGAATAGTTCTCAGAATTTTGTTCTCTTAGCATTCTTAATTTTGTTGTTTTCTACCATTTGCCTTTTATTTCTTTTATGACTTTATTTTTCTTTGTAATGTCATACATTTACGTCGTCCTAACACAGATTTACGTTGATTGCTTCAGGTGGTTGATGATAGTCAAGCCGATTCTAACGATGATGGCCCTGTAGAATGGATTTCATACTGGAAACCTAATGTTACCATTAATCTGGTTGATGATTTCATAAAGTATGTTTCTTCTCATTTTCAAGGTTATGTAAGATTTTGTTTCTACCAGAAAAAAAAAATAGTTGAAAATAGGAACTTATGGATCATCTAATTATTTATTTCATAGCTTTATAAGTATTCAAATACTTTGTTTGGAAACTAAATAAGATTGGAAAAACACGAAAGAGGCTTCGCAAAATGCAGATGGGGATTTTCTTTTGCTTCTTTTTTTCATATATTTAAATTTTATCAATGCCCATATAGCTTATACCGACTCTCATTTCTATTTCTAATCATGATTATGCACTGCTTTGTGGGTAAGTAAGCAATTTTTTGCCCTTTATCTTTTCTCTGCAGATACCCCCATAATGCTGTACCTCCAAATATTGCTCCATGTATCCTTAAATGCTGGTATTTCTTCAAGTATAAATTTATTTATGTAGTGTTTCGTTTCCCTTCCCTGAAAATCTTGAAAGAACTTTGTTGGGTGTCATTTTGAAATGGTTCAAACAACTTAGCTGGCAAAGTTGAGCCCCTTCCTTTATCAATTCTGTACTTGCAAAATTTTATTGTTTCTCAGTGGAAGCTGTAGAGAAATTTACCAGCATGAGAATTAAAAAAAAGAAGTGATAATTCTCTTATGTTAATGGAAAGCTACTTTGCTGTTGTAGTGGCAAGTGTTTAGTTTGATTATGATACAACTAATTATATCTCCATGTATACGTGCAAACATAAATGACTCTCTGTACAATTACACTATATCTTGTGCGCATATAATGTACAGTTGATGACAATAAGTATATAAAAGTAGCAAAGTTGTGTTCAGAAAAAATTTATGGCATGCTTTTTAGCATTCAAAATTTATGGCATGTGTCAAAATAAAAACTATCATGTTGTCACTTTGGCTTTGAGTTCTTCACTTCAGATATGCAGGCTTGAATGTTGAGCCTACTTCAGGGAATTACTTCCCCACCCTATTCTTCAACGAGTTCTGGCTGCTTCGAGATAAATTTATCGCAATTAATGATACTGTGACGGAATTGACACTTAATTTGGAGGTGGGTCCTATAAGCACGACAAAATGGCAACTATTCCTGCAGATTGATCAGTCATTCCAGGTTCATCGTAGTTATGGAAGCATGCTTGAAGGCGAGGCTGATGAACTGAAGGTACCACTTAATTGTATTCAGATCACAATATGAAGTTGGGTGTTGGAATATGATACAATATTTCTA